AACGGTCATTTCAATGGCTGCAATTTAACAAGCCGTAATTAGTTGATTGTTGTACCAAATAAACTTAAATCAACAACAACTGACAATTGACATTTGCATGGAGGAGCGACGGTTAAATTGAAAGGACCCGCCAAATAGCCCCCCTTCGCTCACCCTCTCTTTCCAACGTACATAAATAAGCAGGCGTTACAAACTGCTTGCGCGCATACACATGCAAACACACACACACGCTAGCCAGCGAGCTTTCCCTCTCCCTCTGGCGCACATATACATCACACACATGTCAGCCTTGTCGGCCATATTGTGTCTGACTATCTCGCTCGCTCGCTCGACCGCAGTGTGTGCTTTGTGCTATTTATTAACCTTTTATTTAATGCTATTTGCTTAAGCGTTCCGAAACGACAACAGCAACAACAACGAACACGAGCAACTGATGACAGGCCATCGCCTTGCAATTACCCCACTTCCCCCTAGCCACATGCCATCTCTCGCTCTGTGTCGCCGCACTCCTCGCACTTCAATTAGAGTGTGTGCGGCAGTGTTTGTGCATGTAATTAGGTGATTGTCAGTTCGGTTCAAATGTCGCGTTTTATTTATTTGCCTTTGGTCCCATTCGCTGGCGGAATTGAAATAGAGTGGATAAGTGGAAGGTGGGGTAGGAGTATTGGAAAATGGTTATATTCTAAAGGAACCAAAGAGACAAAAAAGTGTTTGGATTCTAGGAAATACAAAGACCAATTCTTAAACAACATTTGAATACAGTTGTGGAATACTCTGTAAACTTTTTTAACTGTTCTTTTCAGTTCTTTAATTGCATTAAAATAAAGATAATAACATAGCCATTTAAGCCTTTAAATCTGTTACACCCTGTAACCCCAAAATCTAACAGAGGAATGACCACCAAGTAAAGCTAATAATTACTTTTTACCATTTTAAGTTGCTTAAAATATTCCTCCCTGCTTTTTTGTAAAACCACCGCATCGCTTTAACCCGACAAATCAGTTGCTTCCCTCTGACATGTACGGCATTTCCTACTTATTAATTTTCCTCGAAAACTTTTCCATTGCTAATTGGCTGTTACGCACCACCCCGTCTGGAAAACCCCCTTCTCTTAACCCCCAACAACCCCAATGGCATCTGCGGGCCAAACCCAATCGATTTCCATGGCGAGTTGAAAACCATTTAACTGTCAATTAAATACAATTTCCACATGCCTGTTATTGATTTTTCTCTCCAAACTGTCGACAAGTGGAACAAAGTTGGGGAATCGAGGAATGGGATAATGGAATGGGAGTTTGACTGCCAACGACGATGATGGCGATGATGACGATGATGATGGAGGTGATAATGATGATTACTGCTGTCGTCACGTGTTAATTGCAATTAGAGCAGCACGCTCTCAAACGAATAAATTATGCAAATTTCAATTGAGACAAGAAATCGAATTCAATCAAAGCAAAATCAAATCCAATCACAACACACGTCAAAATCAAATTACGCAATCCGAAAAGCAAAATATTAATTTGCGCAAGCAATGTTAGCTATTTGTTGTTCAGGTTTTTTTTCTTTTTCTTGGGTTTGTTAACTTATGACATAGTCATCTCCATTGTTTGCTAAACGACATTAGACAAACTGGCCGCAAAATCACAACAATTACAGTCTCCGATCCACAATCCCCAATCCCCAGTCGCAACATAATAAATGCTACGATTCGATTAAAAGATCAGCTCGAAAAGCAGCAAATACAAACGCAAACAGAGACAAAAAGCGGCGAATGCAGTCCAACAGAGTTGATACTTGTTAGCAGCAGAAAAGGCCAATCCTAACAGATTTTCGTAAAAAGCTCCAGATCTGGCGTTGAAATAGCTAAGTAGACATCGCCACAGTCCTATGAGATTGACAATGAGAGCGGCGAAGCTAACGAGGGCCATCGATCCTGTTAGCGGGCGAGAAAGAGAGCACCAATCCGCGCTCTGTCCTGTTTCTGTTCTTCTGATGTTGCTCGTTTGTAAGCTACATACATTTTTGCGCTTCGGCCGACATCAGCGGCAGAGCTCCAGAGATCATGCTTCAATTGTGGGTCCCCATTCTTATTCCCCAGCTCCGCTCACTTAGCTACTGCTAGATGGGACAGGTCTGAATTCAAGGACTCAAGGGGTGACTTGTTTTATATAAGGATCATTAAAATTCCCAAGTAAATAATCATCGTAAGTTGAGTCTGGAAATCTAAGCATTACTAACCTAATCCTAATGCTAAGAATAACGTCTGCAAAGAACTTAAAAGAATGTTACAAATATCTTTTCACCGCCCCAACCCTGTGCTTTTCGAATTCGCTCCTTTGCAAGCCTGAATCTTACTCTCTGTCTGCCTGACTGAGCAGCTTCATTGGCGTTTCTTGCGCTGCTGCTGCGCTTTGTTTAAATAAAAGCCTCTTTAAGTTTATCTATTGCCGCGCATCTAAATTGTGTGCCCAGTGGGGAGCTGTTAGGGGCGGGCGGCGGAGGAGTAGCCTCGGCTCACTCACTGCGATTATGCTATTTGTTGTTGTTGGTGCTAAAGCTGATGCTGTGGCTGGAAAGGGAGGGAGAGCGAGAGAGAGATAGAGGTCTTGTAATGTTTTGCCGGCGCGCTTTGCTCTTTTGTCGTTGTCGTTGTGTTGTCGTTGTTACTTATTGCTTGCGTTGTAGGCTTCATGTTTTGATTGTATTTATTTTAGTTTGAGTAACTTTACTGCGATGCTTTTTGTTGCTTTTTTTCTGCAGCTCTCGGTTGCCGTCCATTTCTGATGAAGATTTTCTGCGCGATTAACTAGCGAGATCGCCTTACGCTCCGCGGCGTCTTTTATGTGAAAAGCGTTTCGTGCGCGGCTTTAATCATGTCTCCTCTTCGGCTGGAATCTGCAGGAAATGGCTGGGGTAAAGGGGAGCCATAGGGGGGAGAATCAGTTGGCTTTTTAGACATTTTGAGCAATTGCGTTTAATTTTATTCATAATTCGTGGTCTTGGGTTACCACAGTCGAACTTCTGTAACTCCAACAGCCATTTAGCACATCGAAATCTTGGGCAACGATGAGAGTTACTCACGCAAATAATGGTTAATGGTAATCAGTATGAGGTAATGTTTAAATCTTTAAGCTAACATAACGTTCGGATGATTCAAATCGAAACTGTAACTTTTCATAGGAAAGGTTGAAGTTATAGAAGCTCGACTGTTGGGGTTTTATGTTCACTGTTTTCTTCATCTCCATTCCTTCCCCTTAATCGCTGTGTATAATTGTTTCTTTTGTCGAGGGCTGGAAATTAAGCCTGATTAATTCGTTGGTCGGGGGTTATACTATCGTTGTGTCGGCATCTGGCACTCGCTGCTTTGTAATGCTGCAACAAAGTTATTAAACTGGCTTGGATTGGTTTGCATTTCGGGGCATGGCTCCACCGCACCGATCCGACGCGATAATAAGCGTGGACAGCCCGAAAACCTCCATGATCCGGGGTTTATGGGTTCAACAGCAGCGATAAAAAGATCGCTGGAATTCCGATATTTTATGACCAAATCTGTAGGCGATAACGGAGAAAAGGTGCAACTTTGATAGTCGATTTTAGATATGAAATATTATCCATTAGCCACTCTCGACATGGTCGCTAAAGAGCTCTATGGCAAGATAATGCAAATTAATGCAGTCCTCCCTAGGTTTCTTTTTGGACGACTACAACTAAGTTTTTCTGATTTAATTAAAAGAGTGATCAGCATTCCCTACATAACCTCACTGGTGGCAAGGCAAACCCGTTTTCACCCCACACATGATGCTCACAAAAAATGTCACAAATACTTGAAAGGAAAGCTAAATACAGATTTATGAGCACAAAGCACTGCAACAATGCAATATGTTGGCCAATTAGACAGGCTTAAAACATACGCATAACAGGGGCGGAAGAGGAGGAAATTTAATGGGTTAGAGAGGCTGTTATTATTTGGATTTGCGATTAAACTAGTGCTGTTATAATAAGAGAGAGAGTTATATTATGAGAGAATAAGCTGGAATTTGTTTGTAATAACTGCAATCTCACATATATTTTATCTTACAATTCATATTCTTATCTTGTTAATATATCAGTCTTATGATACTAATCACACCTATTCCTTCGCCAACCCCCTTTCAATACTCATAAACCTACGCCCCTGACTAAGCATATGCAATTGCACGTGTATTGGTATTCATTTACGCAGAACTATCATCAATGTTGTCTGATGGGATGTGTGAAGGCAAAACGACAACAAACAATAAAACGGCGACAAAAAAGCATCAAAAGCAATTATGAAATCACGGCAGATGTTGGGGCAACAAAAATTGTGGTGGTGATTTATAAAGCGCAGCTAACAACAACAATGACATCAAAAAGCGCAAAAATTTTCGTTATATCGGGGCAACAACAAAAAGTAAAAGGAAACGAAGGAGTGAAGGAGATGGGGAAGCTGTGGCATGTGTTGTACATAAATATATACACACACTCCAGTCCGCCCATATGTGCGTGTGAATGTGTGAGTGGGTATATAAAGCAGTACGGAGGATGCCAGCAAAAAAGGACTGCAGATGCCAGACCGCAAAGAGGAGCAAACGAGAGAGGGGGTAGGTAAAGGAAGAGGGCAGCCTACATAGAGTGAGATTTACGACTTAAATGCTGCAGCGCATAATCAAAGCGACAAGGCGCAGATGGAAATGGAGTGGAGTTCTTATCCCTATTTTCTTTCTTTTCTTTTTTCCTCTCTTTTTTTTCTCTTTTTGGGGCGACGACGCACTTAATTAACAAATATACAAACACTTAACATAACCTCAACTGACAGGCGACAGATAGTGGGTGCGAGCGGGACAACCGTAGGTCACGCCCAGCAGCCGCTGATTGGATGTTCGAAAAAGCGAGAGCGGGATGGAGAGTGGGAGAGAGCGTGTGCGAGAGAGAGTGTTCTCTTTTGGCGGCTCTCAGCTGCAGCCGTCTCGCTTTGCTTTCAGTTCGCGAGAGAATCAGTTGGTCGGCGGTTCGTAACAGCGCACGTTACGTTTTTAACGGGCGAGCGGATTAACGTCGGTTTCGATAAGTTTATCACCTAAAAATAATTGTCAATCGGAGTCGAGAGCGCAGTGTCATTGCCAATCGAAGTGATAGCTTTGGGCTTTTGTTGGTTTATGTTTTTTAAATGATTTTTGGCTGCCTTGAAATGCCGTCGGCTTTTGGTCCATGTGAACTTTCAAGCTGAAGACCTAAAGCCCAAAAACTGATGTCCACCTTGGCCAGCAGCCGACCGCCCCCGCTCAATCTGATTATTCCCTCCTTGGAGGAGGCACAGGACCACGAGGAGGAGAGGAGAGCGGGAGTAGGTGGAGGGCAGGAGGTGGGTGAAATGCATCCGGATTGCTTGCCCTTGCCGCTGGCTCAGCCGGGAAATTCACCGCAAGTCCAGGATGATGAGGAGGAGCACACGGAATGTGAGGAACAGCTGAACATAGAGGATGAGGAGGAGGCGGAGGAGGAGCAGGATCTTGACCTAGAAGATCCAGCCAGCTGCTGCAGTGAGACCAGTGTTTTGAGCGTTGGTCAGGAGCAATCGCAAGCGGCTCAGGCGGCTTTATCAGCACAAGCTCAGGCCAGGCAGAGGCTTCTGATAAGTCAAATTTACCGACCGTCGGCTTTTAGTAGCACCACTACTGTTCTACCGCCCAGCGAATGTCCGCCTCTGTCGCCCGAGGAACTCCTGCAGCTGCCTCCTTCGACTGGCTCCTTCCAGGTGGAGTTCCTGCGGAAATCCCAGCTCTATGCCGAGGAGCTGATGAAGCAGCAGATGCATCTAATGGCCGCCGCCAGGGTGAATGCTCTGACGGCAGCGGCGGCGGGAAAACAACTGCAAATGGCCATGGCGGCAGCGGCGGCTGCTACAGTGCCCAGTGGTCAGGATGCACTGGCTCAGCTGACGGCCACGGCCTTGGGACTGGGGCCAGGTGGAGCTGTACATCCTCACCAGCAACTGCTCTTGCAACGAGATCAAGCCCAACACCATCATCACATGCAGAATCACCTCAATAACAATGAAAATCTCCACGAACGGGCTCTCAAATTCAGCATAGACAACATCCTAAAGGCGGACTTTGGTTCCAGATTGCCCAAGATTGCGGCTTTAAGTGGCAATATAGGCGGTGGCAGTGTAAATAGCAGCACTACTGGTGGTACTAAAAACTCTGGAACTGCCAATGGCAGCAGATCTCCCCTTAAAGCTCCAAAAAAATCAGGAAAACCCTTGAATCTGGCCCAAAGTAATGCCGCTGCCAATTCGAGTTTGAGCTTTTCCAGTTCGCTGGCCAATATTTGCAGTAATAGCAATGATTCCAATAGCACCGCCACCAGCAGCAGCACTACGAATACCACTGTGGCACCAGTAGATCTGGTTAAGTCGCCACCACCTACGGGTGGTGTTGCGGGCACAACGGGATCAGGAAGTAAATCTGGCGAGGAATCGGGCACGCCAATCGTTTGGCCAGCGTGGGTCTACTGCACCCGCTACAGTGATCGCCCCAGCTCAGGTGAGTCTTACACTGTTGAGACAGAAATAAGTTAAAAACGTGAATCAATAAAAGAAAGTGATTTGAGATAAAAATGCATTCGATTTTATAGATTTTTGGAAACTGTGATGAGTTTTGATACTTAGCTTAAGCTTCCTACTTAAATATGCAACAAATGTGCGAGGTCCGACGGTCTAACATCGTATCTATACATCTTAAAGTGTAAACTTAGTTTACTTCCCAAAGTATCTCCCACTTTCCTTACATTACTCCGCGTTTTAGTCGCCATTTCTTGCAGTGATAGGGGCACCACTCACTCGCTGCTCCTCCACAACTCAAACACACACTCGAGGAGACGAGTTGCTGAGTGGTGGCTCATAAAGCGGTTGTGCAAACAAGCGACAGACATCACTGGGCCGGGGCAAGCGGAGCCAAACCACAGCAACCCACAGCTCATTAGTTTGCCACAACCACCGAAATAGTGAGTGAGAGCGGCAAGGAGGCGAAGCACTCACCCCGAAACTGAAGTGTCTGCTCGAGTGGTTTTCATGTCCTTATGGCTTATGTAACATAACTTAAGCTCATTATGCCTTCGTATGCTTGTGTGTGTGTGATAATATACCCACCCTCGAAAGCAACCCTAAAACAAGCTCCCAGCAATCATGGCACTCTCATGAATTTAGTTTATGCCACCGCAGGGAATTCGTAATCGTTTGCCTAATAATTTCATGGCTAAAATGGGGAGAGGGTGGGTGGACTTCATATGCAGACGGAGTGGAGTTCATTTAATGGGGTGGCTTATTGCTGTTTGAACAAGCAATTCAGATTCCTTGATAGTTTTTGGCTAATCCCCTGGAATCCCTGGTAAAACCATGGATCATGCGGTTCAAGTGGTAAATAGAGAGTGTAAATCACTTAGTTTTGGGTAAGGTGTTTGATTTTATTAGCTTGGCAAGGTAGTTGATTACCTATAATGGCTTACCGAAGTTCTATCTAACTGGTTAAGAGACTCAAAAGCTAATAAATGCGTGTTTTTATAACCTTACTAGTTGGTATTGTCTAGCTAAGCAGTTAAAAAACATTATTTCATTATGAAATTAGCAATAAATGATCATATAACCATGAGAGTGACTTCATCTTAAACAAGTTAACTTTAATTGCTTTATTAACTATCATTTAATGCAATTTGTAAGATTTAAAAGCTCAGCCATTTAAGCACTAACAACAGTTTTAGCCACTTATCCACACGTTTTGTAGATTTAAACAAGCCGTCTTTCTCAAATCCAAGACTCTTAGCTAAGTTTATCAACTAGAAATTCCTGCCAAAACTTTCCTAATACTCAATTTTCCACCCAGCTTACAAACTTGCCCCAAATCAACTGGCAATTTACTCATTACGCTGATGGATGTCAAACCCATAATTATTTTGAGAGGGTTTTCTGGGTTAGGGGGAGTCTCTCGTAACTGAAAGCCCCGAAAAACGAACGAATTCCGAGTGCATAAATCTACGCTTTTGGGTGGGTTTTTTGTCGCGCTCGCTAATTAACTTGAAACGATTTTTTATATTTCCCCTCCAAGCTCTGGCTATCTCTGTCGCACTCCGTCTCACTCGCTTTTAAGGTGTATTTATTGTTGTGGCTTTTTCATTTTCTCAGTTTCATTTTTTAGGTTTTTTTCCAAGCTTTTTTTTTTTGTGTATAAATTTAGCGTGACTAAAACGAGATCTCGATCGCAGTGCGGTTCCATAATTTGAATGAATGTTGTAGGCGATGGCGTCGTCGTCGTCGTTGTCGTTGTTATCGTTTTGGGCCTCCGATTCGAAGTTGGCCAGGCTAGGCTAGGCTAAATGCTTTGGAGTTGGCTTACTGCAGCTGCCATGGCAAACAATGATTTAGCGTGAGATTTGGCCAAAGTCAGCTACAAAATCCTGGCATATTAAAATGCCTGCCAAGAATGAAACTCATAAATTTGTTGCTTTTGAAAAATATTAAAAGTTTCTTACTTAATCCCCGACGCCAACAAAAGGTGTTAATTTGACAAATTAATGCAACATATTCAGAGTGTGTATGTGACTGTGTGTAGGCGATTAAAACAGTTGCCAAAAACGTACATTCGACAACAAATTAGTTAATTGCATTTAACGGCCATTTGTGGTCTAAATGATATATGGCTAACATATGGGAAGCTGTCGGACGACCACGACCACGACGACTGCATATTGTGCGCCATTTTCGATGCAGATTAATGGCATTATAATAAAACCACGAACAGCTTTTGATAATCGAAACAAGATTGCGTTTAATCTTAAAAATTGCCAGGCTATATTTTATGGGTTTTAGTGGGGCTGTATGAGGGAGTGTTCGGTTTTGACTAGCTTGCCTTTGGGAGTTATGGATTATTTGGTTGAACTAGAGAAAGGATGGGGTATGTTTCTTGGTAGTTTTCATAACAGAAACCACATTTGAAGATCATGCAAAAGCCATTGATTAACATACAGTTCTTACGGTTAATTCTTCAAGTTTTTGTTATTGAAAAATATCTCCTATTTCTGCATCTTATTATTAAAAACCACAATGAAAAACACTTCCAGCTCACGGGAAAAGATATATTTAATTAAGGCATATGAACAATTTCTCTTTGGAAAAAACTTAAAAGGGGTTATAACCCTTCTTATAAAGAACTATAAAAACTAAAAGCCTGCTTCGGTAGACTTTTTTGTGCGTAAAGAATATTAAAGATCAGACATATGCTAGCCTATATATTAAATATTGATAAACTCAGCCCTGCCCATATGGACAAGACCTGACCTATCTTATTTCCAACTTTTTCTTAACCCAACACAATCGTAAAAAACATAAACAATTCACCTTAAAGTCCCTCAGACCACAACCACTCACCTCTCTTTTTATCCAAGAGCCCCCTTCTGACCTTTACCCACCGATGGAAAGCAATTTTCGCATTTGTCCGGCACTTTGAGCTCATTTAACCAGTAGCTGAGACAGCGACAAGCGGGAAAATAGAAACGGGAAAAAAAGAGGAAGAGGGGGCCCAGCGGAAAAACGGGAGCGACAGCGATCGCCACTGAACCATTAAGTAATTTTCAATTTGCCCAAGAAGACGCGTCTCTAGCAGCCAGAAAACAAGAAACAACAACAACAATGACAACATAAACAAACGAATTTCAATTACACCGGCCTGCAATTACCCTCCCCTCTCGCCAGCCTCGAAAGCCTACGATTTTCTCATCTCTGTGGAAAATTGCTGGAAAAGTTTTTTTTGCCTTTGCATGTTCTAAGTGGAAAATTTACTAAGGAAATTGCTTTAAAAGAGAGAGAGAGAGAGGAAGCGCTTGAGTGCAGGTCAGCTCTTAGCTCTTTGATAAGTGAAAAGTTATGAGCATTTTTCCAGCAATTTAATAGGTGATAGTAGTAACCCTTAAGCAGAATTCTGATTTAGTTAGTAAGACTAAAATGACGCCTTGGGTGGTGATTGTCAGCCTTGTTCCGATTATATGTAAAGTGCCGCTTTAGGCTTTGATTTCTAATATAAAAAGAGAAAAGAGATTAAAACTAAACAACCTATTAAATGGAATCTTAATAGAGTGATATGACCAACTAACCATAAGCTCACACTCTACCCCCTAAACTCCATTTAACTTATGCATTTAGGCCAATTTGAGCAGGATTCAGGCTAGAGAGAGAGAGCTCTCATATAGCCAGAAATGATTATTGGCAACCATCAAAGAACTCAATCAATGATAGCAACACGAAAAGTTTCTTAGCCAAAAACGATTTTATGTCTTAAGTGCGCAATTTGCGTTGCAAACGCAACAAAAAAAAAGGCAGAAAGAACACCAACAACAACGTTGTTTATGACCCAAATGCATTCATAAATATGCGAGGCTGTCACGTCATATGATAATCACGATATCCCAAGCCTCAAGAGAGAACTTCGGCATGGCTTTTCCCACTCCCTTCTGCTGGCCGCCAAATTGAGCCATTGAGGAAAATACTTACCGGCTTATGTGCTAGCCTCTTTCCTGGCCAAACACTCTAAGAAAGTTCTAGCCCAGGTGAGTGGTTAGATAGGTGAAAACTATTAAATGAAAGCACTTTAAGGCCTCTTACTCTATCGGTTTTGGGTAGTACTTTAGAGTGGCTTTTCTAGGTCAAAAGCAAAAAGTAATTAAGGGAAAAGTTGGGTAGGGAGAGATATAGTTGAGTTTTGGGATAAGTTAAGATGGTTTGTCTTTATTTTCCATGTGAAATTGGGAGCTTACGTTTTCGTTACGTTACGTCACGTTAGGTTAGTTAGGTTACGTTAAGATGGAAGGTAGTTTTTCCATGTAAAATTCGGAAATTACTTTTTTGTTACGTTAAACTACGTTACGTTGAGTTACGTTACGTTGAGGTACGTCACGTTAAGTTACGCTACGTTAAGTAACGCTACTTTAAGTTTACAGCATCAGCTTATTAAGGTATTGCTAATACTCAAACGTTGAAGGTTCAATAAGGCATTATTCTATAAATCTAATATAAATCTTTTAATTGGCAATCTCAAGTTGAATCTCTCCTGTTAACAGCTCCCTTTTTCCTCTCAGTGCATGATGAGTGTTAGGTAGAAAAGGCAATGGCAATCAGCGGCGGCGATTTATGAAGTGACAAAAATTAATTTCAACTGTTAACTTATCGCACAACCAACAAGCAACACACAACAATAACAGCAACAACAACAGCATCAACAGCGAACAGGGGCAGCAACTGTAACAGCAACATCAACAACAACAACAACAACTAGTAGCGCCTTTTAAGGCTCTGGCAACTGCAACTGCCGCAACTGGAAAAAGCAGCCATGCGCCTTGGTAATAAAACTGTCAGACCCCCAAACGCCCCTTGCCCCTTCTTGATATATATATATATATATATATCTTTTTTTTTAACCTGCGTCACGATAACAGCGCGGCAGCAGCGAAAAATGTCGTTTAAACTGTGACTGGACTGCTGACCGCATTTGGTTAATGT